CTAATAAAAACTTAGATATAATGATATATTTATCAACTTAGAAAGAAAGTCCCACGATATAGAAATAAGGGCTATGGGCAATATGGTGACTTACATTCGCAAGGTGATGAGTGAAAAATGAGCAAGCATGCATCGATGCCTAAACACTTGATGCCTAAGTGACGAACAATAATAAAACTCAAGAAGTAAAAGAAGTCTATCGTTGTCTCCCTTCTTAAGACACAATCAACAGAACGATGAGCAACATGATGAAAACAAGCAATGACGAAAAACATTTATGAGATTACATGAAATATGAGCATAGGAAAAAAAAATACAAACAGGGAATATCTACTGAATTTTTGTTTAAAAAAATCACCCTACAATAATTTGGATATGATTCCAAGAATCCAAGATTTTCAAGACAATTAAAAATAGAAGAGGTGCACTAATGGTCTTGGTAATTAACCAAAATAAATCTTGGTAATTACCTTCTTTTATCTGTGCCAAAATAAAATCCAATCTGCAACTTAAATAAATAAAAAAAGTAAATAGATTACATGACCGGGTGCCGCGGACCCCTTGACAGCTGCAGCACTGCAACCTGCATAGCAGGCATTACTACATTGGGTGCAGTCACCAGACGATATAACATAGTACCTACTTCTACGTAACGTACTTTGCGTCCACGCACCATTTCCAAGCCGCTTAAGAGTCCAAGCACCAGCAGTAATAATCGGATGATGAGAGTTCCAGTAATGCTTCCGGTGTCATCTTCTCCAGCTCCTGTTGCCTCCAAGATGGATAATTATTACGGTTCTCTCCGGAGCCCGAAGAGTAGTCTCGGGGATGATTCTGCGAGCGCATCCTGACGTAAAGCCTCATTGCAGCCACACAGTCATCGTATGGATCTTGTGTTCCAGTTTGGATGTCATAACTGCAGGTGAACAGTAGATGAGGTGAAGTAAAATCATGATCTGGCTTCTAAAGAGTGCTACATGTATCTTATATGTACTCCTCACCCAAGGTAGGTTTGCGTCAGATGCTTGAGCGAGTTGCTGAGCTTGCTAGTTTTCAGCAATGGTGGATAGGTTGCTGTGTCTCTGTGCCAAGAAAGATGATCACTAAACAAGAATGGTTCGTGGGAAACAAGCTTGGACATATGTGATGGAATGCAGGAGTTACGTACCTGATCAAGAATTCAGGGTATTCAACTCCGAGGCAGTCGAGGTCGTGATCCAAACCGTGTCCGACGAGGATCCTTGCGTTCCCACCCCGAGATCGTATCTTCCAGATCGGTTCTCCGTTGCTAAGCAAGTCCTGAATCCTCCTCTGTGCTTGCTTCAGCGGCATTGCATCCCTCAAGTGTTCGGGTCTTACACCTGTCGTTCCATACCTGGGAAAGATTGAAGTGTCAAGGATTCGTGTTGTTCTATCTTACGGCAACTTGGATAAACGCTGATGCCTTGTTATGAGTTCGATGCTGGTCACCAACTTTGTTCAGAGGAATTCAGAAAGGGAAAAAGAGGCGCACGGCACCTGTAGTTTGTCACCGGGATTAGGGGCTTGATGTACGTCTGGAAAATGATGTTTTCATCTTCCCCGATCAGGAAGACCCTTGCGCAAAGATCTAACGATCCGTCACTTCCTCCTCCGACCATCGTGCAGCCTAAAGCAATTACCTTGGAACCTTGCATTCGTGTGCCATGATCCGACGAGCTTGGACCCTGAAAGCTCAACCTCGACATCCGAGAGATAAGCCCCTGAAAGAAGAATAATTCCTTTTAAGATTCACTTGGCACGCAACAGATCTGTTGCTTTTAGATTACTCACCGGAACAGCACAGGAGAGTTGGCATGTTCCACGGTGAATTCGAAGAGCATTTGGACATTGGAAGATGTCCAAGCATAAATCACATCCTCGAGTGCTGAATATCCTTGCACATTCAATCTTCGGAAGTGGTCCTTCAAGAAAGAGATAGGATCGATTCTAACTTTTACAACAAAAATAATTGAAGAATCCCAATTCCTTTTAACTTCATACATAGCTCACCTATTAGATGTTCCCTGAGAGATTCAAGATATCTGCATTGCTTTTGGCATATCCCACACACCGGCTCATGCACCGAGTGAAATGAGGCCCTCATATGTTCCACCAAGTGCTCCACTTTGTTGTATTGCCTGAAACATGCTGCGCATTTGTTCCTAGGGTGCGTTTTATAGTCAGATTTTGATGATCATGGAGAATCATACAAGGAGCTTCACTTCAGTTTCTTTATAAATCGAAGCTTTAGGGAACATAATTACGTATAAACAAATCTAAAAGTTCAGGTTCTATGGAGATACTGCTTGACATGAACAGCGAGCACAAATTCCGATGGGAGCTTCTAATTTGCTGTATCACCATAAATTAAGAAATCTTCATTTCGGAAATAGGAACAGGTAAAGAACTGCAAGAAAAGGCGAGGCTAAGATGTGAATATTGTGGTGTAAGGCTGCTGCTCACTTTAGAAACATAGACTGCATCAGTTAGGTAGAGTCGATCATCTTATGCAGTAGTAGTAAACTAGTGAATTCCAGCAAGAACAAATCGACGATATACTAGCAGTTAAAAAGGCTGAAGTTGCAACATGTAAAAGAAAATACTATGAAATGATACTTTAATCTGAAAGAAGTTGTTCTACCTTTGGCATTAATGTCTAAAACTTCAGTTCATACTGTAGACTTATTAAGTAGGGTATATTACGAAAAGACAAGCACATGGATGTTCCACAAACGATACAGTGTACGTGAAGAAGAAATGGTGGCGTACCTAATAGTCCCAGAATCAGGCGTGTTATCCATGACTGGTCTATGTAGCTCTATGCCACCAGAGGGAAACCGCTCGAGGCTGGTTGCAAAGAAATGGAGTGTTGGTACCATATTTATACACACAGCTAGCAATAGCTGGGAGGTGTATGGAGATGTAAGAGATGCAAGAGAAGAGTGTTGAACTGGAGAAGATGTTCCATCTCTGTAGATTAAGGTGGTGATTTCCTGATCCAATTCCCAGCTTTGAGGTGATGTCTTGATTGAACTGGACTTAGGATCGTCCACGAAATATATTGTCCAGAATCCGAATCCATGAAAGGGAAACTCTCATGAAGGAATCGTTCAAGACATAGAGCCAGCTAAAATTTTTGACAAGTATTCTTGGTGCAGCACGCAACCCTTTTAGTTTGGTCCCACTCGATTCCTCCCATTCAAAGATGCGCGGTCAAAAGAAATGGTGGAAGAGAAAGTAACTGGATTCCAGGTCCACACCATGCAACATATCTTTGACCGTAAAGTTCTCTACGGCAAAAGTTGATGGTTATGGCCAGTGTAATCATCTAACACATACTTATAATCTAATGTAGCTAATCAGTCTATGAAAATAAATCAAATAAAGAAGAATGGATTATCATAGAATCAACCGAAGATATGTAAGTGCAACTCAACCTCAGGCTTTTGAATCTTGGGTTAATTATGTTATTTGGGTTGTCCAATATATCGAGTACATTCATGAGGCTTATGAATCAGGTCTTAAACTAGGGTCTTAAATTATTCATCGAAAAATTTATAGTAGTCTACTTTGATAATATTTTAATCTACAGTCATATAGGAAAGAACATATGTCCCAAGTCTTAATTGTTTTGTAAGATAAGTTATATGCCAATATGAAGAAGTGTGACTTCTAGACAAATCGATTGATCTTCTTGGGATTCATTTTGAGTATCTTGAGTATCGATGAGATTCATGTTATTTGAGAATGGTTACTCCAAAGATTATTATAGAAGTGAGGAGCTTTCATGAGCAGCCTATAAGCATAGGAGACAATGTGTTCGAGGAAGAATATATAATTTGAGTATACTTGTGAAAATAGAGATTTCCCATGGATACTTATAACAAATTGAAATCGAAGAAATATGATGCATACAAGGTCTTAAAGAAAATCAATAATAATGCTTGTGATTGATTTACCAGATAATTGAGGGATTTTAGAGATCTTCCATGTTGTAGACTTATATAACTATTTTCTAAATGAAAATCCATTATATTGTTTTCTTAAATGGAGGGGATTAATACAGAACAAATATAAGAAGATTATTTTTAAAGAGCCTAAAATTGCTCGCTTATTATTTTATTTATCTTATATTATTATTTTTATATTATTATTTATTTTTATTATTGTTAGTAAGTTAGTTTTCAAGACATAGAACTAGTATAAATAATGGCCTCATCTATGAAATCATCAGAAAAATAATATCTTTAAATATTATATTTTTTTCTGTGAGGAATTAATTTCTCTTGTCCTATCTTGTTAGTTTAATTTATCAGAATTAATAGTAATTTCTTAATTTTGTTTTGTTTCTGTTCCAGATGCTACTCCGGCAAGCTATAACTGCTAACGCATCATGCTTATCAAGAGACCATCTTCGGGAGTATCTAAATATAGGAGTATCTAAATATCTAAAGAAACAGATAGGCAACGTTACATTTCTTTCTCTGTTAGATGCTCTTCTTTTTAAAGTAGTAGAATATATCCATGTAAATTTTGGACCTTTTGACCGCCATCGAAAATGTTTTACACACGTTTTAAAGCGATGGATGTAAATATGGGACTGTCAAGCACAAGAAATGTGACCCAGCCCATTTGGCCCAACCTTAAACTCCAGCCCAGGTGCCGCTGCTTATGAGGCTTAGCCTACTCGGCCCAGCCTTAAAGGCCCGTGTGGCCCACTCCGTGCTGGTCGTTCCTTTTCAGAATTAATAAAATAGAAAAACTATATGTACGATTTTGAACGGAAAAAGGCTGCCAGAAAAGCCGAATCGCCCGTAGCAAGTTTCGTGTCTAATGTGGCCCTTCAAACACACGACGGCAGCGGGACCCACAGCACGCCGGTGCCCATCAGTTCTGTCCTTCGTCGTTTTGCCCCTGAAAGTTAACTCGGGCCAAGTCGGTTCGAAATCAAGATATATGGCAAAAGTCTGTTGGATAATATATATTCCATCTCCCGATCGGAAGAGCGAGAGAGAGAGAGAGAGAGAGAGAGGGAGAGAGATCGAGGGATTGGGATTTGATCTCTGATAGCTGAGTTGGAGGAATCCCCGCGATCGCCTTCGGAGGATGAGATGAAGAAAGAAGCGGGATCGTTGGCGAAGACGGCGATTTCTACTCCGATTTCTTTTTGACGACGGCGCATCTTCTCCCTTTTTCTTTCGTTTTTATCAGATCTTTTCCGGCCATTTGCTCGTTTCTTCGTTCGTTCGTTCGTCTTTGTTGATACTGGTTGGATACCGAGAGAAAGGGCCGTCGATTTGGGCCATCAAGGATTAACGCCAGATTCCGCATCTTCTTTTCAGCTGCTCATCTAGGTATACTGATCTACCTTTGTGTTTTCTCTTAATTTGTTTCTGTAGGAATTTCTTGGTTCGTTATCTTGGGTTATCTGTGGAATTTCGGCGTAGAATTTGTTGTGGATAGATATTTGTTCGGGCATCCAAATCTTGATAAATAAAGACTTCCTCGTTTCGACTATATGGTATTCGTTCGATTTGTTTTAGGGTGTTGACATGTACGCATGGAACGCTTTCTTTGAATCTTGAATAGAAAATTAGCTTTGGCGTGCTCTTTGCGACGTGATGGTCATTGAATCAGGCCGAAGAGGCATCAGTCTTTGTGGTTCGGCGGAAGATATTTACAGGGGTTTAAAAAGAAAACAATCTGCTCACCTTGGATGTTGTTCTGCCATTTGACTACTTGGGAGTTGGGATAGTGTTTGGAGTAGAATAAGATGTGATGAAATTGGTCTTCTAATCAAAGATGCTTCCAAACTACCCAGTACGTTAATCCTTTTGTTCTACCGACTAATGATTGCTTTTTGTTTTGCTAGATTAGGGAGAAAAGTATATAGTCTTTTCACATAATTAAGGCATAATTACTTGCAGAGTAGGGAGGAAATTAATTTTCTTAAAACGATGGTTGTAAGGGCATCCATTGTGCTTCACAGTTTTTGTTGCATGGTTAAAACCCTCTTCTCTTTGCCTCGAAAAAGGATAATGTCAGTTAGGGAGGAAATTAAATCTTTTAAGACTATGAGGTTGAAAGAATATCATTGTGCTCCACAATACTTGTTGCATAGTTAAAAGTCCTCTTCCCTTTGCCTCGAAGAGGATAATGTCAGTTAGGCAAATGCTCATCGAGCAGTTCAGTCGATGAAGGACTTCCTTGTTTCGACTATAATACGGTGCCAGGGTGTTGACATGTACACGTAGTAAGTTTCTTTTGTATCTTAAAATAAAGTTCACTTTGATGTGCTCTTTATTGGGTGTTGATCATTGAATCAGGCTGAACAGGCATCAATTTGTTTCGTTCACGAAAGATAGTTTACTTGTGTCAAAAAGAAAGAAAACATGCTACTTGCATTGGATGTTGTTATACCATTTTGCTACTTAGGAGTCGGGATAGTGGTAGGAGTTGAACGAGATTTAATGAAGTGAGTCTTATCAAAGATGCTCGTTTTGTTCTACCAATTGATGAAGTACTTATCTTTTGCTATATTAGGGAGGAAACCGAAGGTTTTTTGCATATTAAGGCTTCATTAGTTGCAGATTAGCGAGGAAATTGATATTTGTAGGAAGCCGAAAGACCTCTTCTCTTTGCCTTAAAAGGAATAATATCTTTTAGTCAAATGCTCACCAGGCAGTTCAATCTTTGCAGTATCACGGAGAGCTGTATATATCAATTTATGCTCTTGTCTGCTATGGATATTCTAATTGTGATTCTAATGCAATGCTTTTCCTCCATACTAACAGCTACATAAAACCAAAAGACACAACCTAATTATTTTTCCAAAATTTTCTGTGTTGTGATTTCTGTTCATTGGCTGCTGACTGAAAGAACCTAAATCTATCACACAACCTAAATCTAATTATCACACTAGCTTTAGGCAGCCATCTGTTTCTTGATAAACAAAACCATCTAGAGATTTTGGTTGAACATTTGTGTTTTGCTTTTAGCATTTCCTTTTGTATGGTCATAATAAAAAGCAACAAAGTAGGTGAATAAATTGTTATTAGTTGTCTTGTTTAAGTTGTTCTGATGTTTTTACAAATAATAGTTTTTGCATATTATCATTTCAGATTGTGCCAAAGCAGATCAAATACGATGTGTGATGCCTTTTTAAGTTGTACTGTTGTACTTCTTTTAAAAATTTTCAAGTGCCTTGTGCTTGTTCATTTGGAATGCTTTAAGTTACCTGACAATTCTTCTTTTTGGGTTTCTCTTTCCAGATATATGTTCTGAGAATTTCTAGTTCACTTGAAAGCTATAGATTTGCCTGTTTGTGACAGTCTGTTATATTCCAATGATATTTTGATGCAGGTTGATACTGATTCTTTCTTGAGATAAGCTGATTTTCTTTCACTTAATACATCAATGAGATTTTTTGGCGTGATGGATACTTCAGTTGCACCCTTGATAATGCTTTTCAGTTACTGTATCCAGATATGCAGAAGAATGAAATGAAGTTCTTCATGCTTTGGGCTTTTAACGGTATTGAGACTGTGGAAACAAAGAAAAGATATCATATTTGATGCCAGTGCATGGAATGTGTTCTGATGAGACTGATATTTGGTTGCTACTTTATTTATTACTAGATTCACATCCAAAAGGAAGGGACTATTTTATTAGATGAGAGTGATATGTTGCTGATATTGCTATAATCACTTCAGAATCTATTCAATTTATTTTGCATCATGGTCATTCTGGAGCTTGAAGTAGTTGACTTTCTTCTATAAGAAAGAGACATGGAATGTGAATTTGAGAGGAGATTTCCGACGAATTCTAAAGACTACAAGCTGTATGAGGAAGTAGGTGAAGGTGTTAGTGCCACTGTGTACAGAGCTCTATGTATTCCTCTTAATCAGATAGTTGCTATTAAGGTTCTTGATCTCGAGAAGTGCAATAATGACCTGGTAAGTATGCTGTTTGCCACCATGTAGTGGAGAGAGATTGATTCTTCCAAACTTTAGTTTCTGCTCAATCTTATTCTTTTCTTATGGCATCACATGCGGGCTAACTTTCTTTATTCAGTGGATATGTTCTTTTCCCTAACCTCGGCATTACTTACAACTATGGTTCCATTGTCTCTGTTTTTCTTTGTTGATCTCTTTGTCGCATCACTGGCTAGCTTAATCGATTTGAGACTTTGAGCATACTCCAACATTGTCGTCTTAGTTTGATGTCCTATGTAGTCATCTCTGCAACCATTCAATCCTAATTTCAACTTGTAGCATCATCATTTTCTTGACTAATGGTCAGGAAATGTGCTTGATGGATCTACTTCCTTGCACAATTCACAAAGATTTGACATTTATATTTTAGCAAGAGTTTTGACTTACTAATTTCATTTTATATGACTAAGCTGCCCCATAGTTTGACCTTTGCTGTGCAATTAAAAAGAGAAATCTTTTTAAATGAGCATGATTTGTGGTGTTCAGCCTCCAAACAGGATATGTTGGCCGGTGAATTGCATCTTGCATGACTTTGAGAAGAAAGAAATGTTGATAAAATTTTGGAAAGGAGACAGCAGCATTCTCCATAATTTGACATTAGTTGATGAATTCCTCCTTAAGTTTTGCAATTTTCATTTAGAATTTAATAATTCATTTATTCCATACCAAAGATAAAAGATATCTTGTGGCCTATTAGTCCATGTCCTTTCGAAGTTTGATTTTGTGCTTAGAAAAACACAAAGGTTTCAGGAGGAACTGCAATCAGTGTATAACATATTCAAGGCATCATTGTTTACTGATGAATTTTAATGATCTGGTCTCCTACCACATTTCATAGTTTCCCCAAAATGTCTATTCAAAATTCCAAACAACTTTCCTGTTAGGTATTATTGCTTGAAAAGAAAATAAGAACAGCATATTTCAAGTTAAGGCAATTTTATACCAAGAAAAAGTTCTTAATGTTTACTAGTTAAGATATGATCCACCATGCTTGGCTTTCCCATCTTGTTGTGCATCAACTTGAGTGGAACAGCCCAATTCAAGCAATAAAGGGTCTGGACTCTGGAGAGTGGAGAGGGTCATGTGGACTTCAACTTTCAGCTATGCCGAGGTTGTTCTTTATGTTGGAACCCTGGACATCCAAGTTACATTGGAGTAATCTTGTCACCAAGGCCTTTGTCACCTTTACTGCAGATCATGATGATAAATCTCCTATGGATTTATGCTTCATAGAGATTATTATTTTGCTGGAGGAGGGATTGGATGATGATGACTTGATGAGGTGATATAATAAGATAATTCTTTCTGTAGATGTTTTGGTTGAGTTGTTAATCTGGAGAATATTTATGAAATGCCAATTTTTAAAAGGTTTACTAGAATGCTATTCAACATGCTTAATAAAGCTATCATTTTAAAAGCCTAACAACTAACAAATTTGCTGCTAACTTGGTATTTTTATCTTAATCATTCCTCTATAATCATTCACACTGGGATGTCCATGAATGCTTTTCACAATTTTTCTCATCCATTTACATGTTCATGCTTGTTACGAGATGCGTTTGAAGGATTTTCTGATACCTATTTAATGGGAAATCTAGAATCTGGCCTGGATCTTTTGAAATGCTTTTCTGAATAACTTGGTTGACACCTTTTCTCTGTATTTCTTTCAGGATGGAATTCGCCGTGAAGTACAAACAATGAGTTTGATTGATCATCCTAATGTACTACGTGCTTATTGTTCTTTTACGGCAGGTCACAACCTTTGGGTTGTGATGCCATATATGGCTGGGGGGTCTGCTCTTCATATAATGAAATATGCTTATCCAGAAGGCTTTGAGGAGCCAGTTATTACAACTCTTTTGCATGAGGTTCTTAAAGCTCTTGTGTATCTCCATGCTCAGGGTCATATCCATAGAGACATCAAGGTAGTTTTCTTTTATGTTAACTAGGTGTTTGGAAGGTTGAGATATTTTTGTTTATAATTAGATCTCCTAGTCCTGTTGGTTGGTGCCGTAACGCTCTTCTGCTAGTTTACTTGTAGTCTTGCTGTTGAGTAAAGTACTTTTATATTGCTGTTGTTCGCTTTGTGGAGACATTGACCTTTGCTGCTTCACTTAGTGTAGTGTCTAGGAATTTGCAAATTTCTCCTGATTTTCTAGCTTCTGCCAGTTTAGATATGCATTTTGTTAAGTAGATTTTAGAAATCCATGTGGGTTCAGTGTTTGTTCTATGTATTTTTTCTTTGTGGGACTCCTTGGATTGTCTATGTTTTGATTATGTAGATTTTTGATGCTCTGTATTTTCTATAATTTTTCAGGCTGGTAATATTCTAATTGATGCTAAGGGAGCTGTTAAGTTAGCAGATTTTGGAGTCTCAGCTTGTATGTTTGATACTGGGGATAGACAGAGAACAAGGAATACATTTGTGGGAACCCCATGCTGGTGCATTTTTTAGATTCACCTCTTTTGCAATTTGGCACCTTTACCGAACTTGGATTTTTGAGCTTGGGATATTCTTTTGGTTTGATCTTTTTTAAATTGATTATCGAATATTGCATATGACTTATTTGTTTATTCTCATCTGTTTTTCAGGATGGCTCCTGAAGTAATGCAACAACTGCATGGATATGATTTTAAGTCAGTGGTGACTATCTCATTGTGACATGCTAATCCATTTATATTAAAAATGTTTCATCGGTTTTTTAGTAATACCTTTTATCTTCATGATTTGTGATATGAACAGAGCAGATGTTTGGTCATTTGGCATTACTGCATTAGAACTTGCCCATGGACATGCCCCATTCTCTAAGTATCCGCCCATGAAAGTATGCCCCATTCTCTAAGTATCTGCCCATGAATGGAGAGTCATCTGTTTTAATATGTGCTGTGCCTTACTCTATATGTATGATATTTTGTATTGCAGGTGTTGCTTATGACGTTACAAAATGCACCACCAGGTCTTGACTACGAAAGAGACAAGAGATTCTCAAAGGTTCTCCTCTAATGAAAATATTGGTGCCAAGATATAACTGTTGATTGTTGTATTAAAGTGTTATTTTTTTGGTAGTCTTTCAAAGAGATGATAGCCACCTGCTTAGTAAAGGATCCAAAGAAACGTCCAACTTCAGAAAAGCTTTTGAAGCACCCTTTCTTCAAACATGCTCGTTCTAGTGAGTTTCTAGCACAGACTATTCTTGAGGGCCTTTCTCCTCTTGGTGATCGTTTTAAGGCACTGAAGGTCTGAAATTAATCTCTTTTGATTAATGTTGAATGCTAAAATTATTTTTTAATAGTCACTAACTTTTAGGGAAAGGAGGCAAATTTTCTTCTAGAGAACAAGGACGCATCTGAACAATTATCACAGGTATCTTAAGTAAATGCTTTTATATCAATTTTCTTTGAACATATTGTCATTTTGATGTAATAGCATCCTCAGGTTTAGAGGGTACAGGATGTCTAAAGATCTCATGAAGTCTTCCATATGTTTCTCTTAAGAAAAATATAGGTCACCCATATGACAACTTTCTTATGGCTATGATTTTTCTAAAAGCACAAAGATGTTTCTGTTAAAAGTCAGATCAGAATTACCATATCAGATAATATTTTTGATTGAACTGCTGAAAGCCTGAAAGATTTATTAACTAGTTAAGTTGTTAGGTTACTTAGACTTACCACAAAACACTAATCTATTTGTGTTTTTGGATCACTTTTCAAAAATATTTTTTGAGAACAACTTAACTGTTTGTTTCTCATGAAGAGGCAGGATACGTATCCTTTAGTGATTCATATCATATTTTGCAGTCCATTTTTTTTGTGGTTAAGTTATACCATATTGCAGGCGGGACTGCATGACGAAAGGCTGTAACTGCTTGCATGAGCTGAGTGATATGGTTGCATTGACTTACGTGGCCATGGGACCTCACCATATATGGCTGTGTGGCCTCAGTATACTCTATTATCATATGTATGAAATCTAAAATCTATATGTGATCCATTATTATGAAAATATAATGGTGCGACTGTGCCTCCTATGACTATGCAGCCTCAATATACAATGTTATTGTATATGTCAGTCTGTTTGCGTATGTGATCAATATGAAAATTATAATCACATATGAAGTTATATATTATTGGGTGAGAGAAATATAATCACATATGTGGTTATATATATATTCTTGGGTGAGTCTTGGTGCCTTGGTAAGGTTTTTCTTTGCAACTTGGGTGACTAGGATTTGAGGTCATGAAAACAACCTATCTACTTGTAGGGTAAGATTATAAACATTGACCCTTCCCATGACTCCAGATTGGTGGGACCTTGTGTGCTCAGCCATCACTATTTTGTTGTTTATATTTTTTTCTTTATTTGTGCTATTTCAACTATTGTATATGATTCAAGATAATATGCCATTCTCTTAGTTAGACCTTTCCGCCATTTCCTGTTCCTTAGAACCTAATTATGTTCTTAAATGAGTATGTAAGCTTATAATTATTTTGTTGGCCTTAGCGTGTGTGTGTGTGTGTGTGTGTGTGTATAACATCATAAATTGTACATGATTGTGCATTTCTTAATCTATGCTCAGTTTAAAATTATGTTGCATATTTTATTTAACTACATATATCATTGTGTATGCTTCTGTGCATCAGATATGCGGGAATTGCTTGTATCAAGTATTCGATGACATTATTTTTATTTCTTGGTTAGCATCATCAGTGTCTGGTCCCAGACTCGGATAAAATTAAAATGAGAGTTGCATTAGATCACTGATAGCTAGTACAAAACTTTATCAGATCTCATGAGCTTGCATCATATTACACAAAGGTCAATGGTGGGAGAAGATTCATGTAGTTGGCCACCACAAATAGTTGGGATTATGTCTTGTTGTTATAATATGACATTTTGGTTGATGAACTGACATTATTTTCTTGTCAAGAAGTTCACCAAATCCCAGACTAGATTTGAACAACTATGGTATAAATTATTCTTATTATATTGCAGCAAAATTATTATCGAAAGGCATTATTTATGATACTGAGCTGTCTTCTGAAATTTTGACTCTTTGATACTGGATTCTTATATGTTAGTGCATCTGGTTATTGATGATGACAAAATAATTTTGTGTTGCAGCAAAAATACATACGAGGAATTAGTGGATGGAATTTTAATCTGGAGGAGTTGAAATCTCAAGCTGCTCTTGTAAGGATAACTTCTGGTTTCACATGTCAACTAGCTATTTTGTCCAAGAAGGATTCCTTGTGGGAAAAGAACATAACAAGTCTTGATGTTTGATGTGATTGGTGTCCAGATGCAATCCTTGGATAATGTCTATAATTTGGAAAATGTAGATGCTGGCAATAATCTTAAGGATGACCTTGATAGTGTTGATTCCTCGGTGGTTGCTCTGGCTGAGGGAGTTAACTTTGCCAGCAATGAAACTTCTAGGGAGGTATTTATATCTAAGTTTGTTGTTTCCTTCTGTTAAGTATTTTTTCCCTCCCCTATTTCAAGCTTTTAACTGTATCAAATTTAAACATTTAATTTTTTTTCTAGGGTGAAATGCAAGATCTTCAGGATTTGGAGGGTCCATTGGCCTCTGCATTTCCAAGTCGTCCTCTTCAGGCACTCAAGTATGTAGTTCAGTAACTTTATGTTATAATTACTTGCTTTTTGGCCTCATATTGTTACCTGCATCCAAAAGAAAGAAACGAGCTAGAGAAAAGCAAAACCATTGATGTACTTGTTTTTTAATGATGACAATGACATACAGTGAAAAGGACATCCATTTAATTTAAAATATTTTTAATATGTGGTACATGTCTTCATCGAGCTAATCAACATACTGCTAGAAGTAGAGGAAATCTTCGGGTGAAAAAAAAAAGTTGATAAGAACTCAATATCTACAACTGTTATTTCTGTCTTGTATGTATTTATACATAGGAAAACTTCAGGTGAAAACAATAGTTTAGGAGGACTCAAGATCTACAACTTTTTTTTTTGTCTTGTATGTATTTATACATTGCATAGATGTTTGAGGTCAGCAGTAATAATACTTCATATTTCTCAACCTCCCTTCGACATTTTCTTGTTTGATTTATTCAGAACAGTTACTATAATGGTATCATGTTATGTATCGCACTAACTGTTTCAAGCAAATCAGAATTATTTAAGTGAAGTTATTTGATGAAATGTATAGCCAACTGAATCAGCTTTAACTTCATAAGCATTTAAAATTGTTGCAGAGCATGTTTTGATGTTTGTGAGGACATGAATACCAGCAGCCCTAATTGGAAGATCCCATCAAAGTTCGACTCCATGTTTCCATTGCAGCAAGCATCAGAAGCAAAGGATCTCAAATTTGGAACACATAATGATGAAAATATGGAAAGAAGTGCTTCTGTCTCCTCGAATATGGATAACCTTGGGTGTCAGAAATTCTTAAGTGGTTCTCTTCTACCAGAGCACATTCTTTCTCCGTGTAGGAATGTTGATGCAGATGCAGAGAGGTAATAACCGCAAGTTGGAAACCGTACATTTATGTGATTTAAGAAATCCTTCTGTCCTGTCTCTCTATCTTTAGGTCTGCTGATCCTTCTTTTCCCTTCTGCAATTATGGCTACCAATTTTCTCCTGAGAACTGAAAACTTAAATGTGATCTTAACTGAAAGGGAATTACTATGTTTGAATTTTGCATTGCAGTTTTATTATTAGGTTTCCATCATGCATGAATAATTCTTGTTTTTTATACCACAACTGGATATTCATATGGTCATTGATCCACCACTATTCACTCTTGATATGCATGAATGTCTGAACTCATTCTTGCTCATTCTATAAATTTTTGTCTTTAAATTATATTAAATGGTTTGATGACTATATTTGCTAATTTTTAGTCTCTTCATATCTTATTAAAGGGATGACATACATCGGAGATGTCAACATGAAAGATATTATAGTGGTCCCTTGTCTCGTCAAACGAAAGATTCATCTAACTTGACATCTGGTATAGTACACATGACACTTGTCTTCCGTAAGTTTTTTTAGTTTGTTAAACATGTCCTGTGCTAACCAGAAAGAAGCCAAAAGCCAAGTGGTTTTTTTCTGCTTTCTTATTTTTTATACTTCTGTTTAACCTTGGAGAAAATTGGACTGGTGTAGCAGCAATGTTACATGAGGAACCTTCAGAAGGAAAAATTGTCCAGCGTAAAGGACGATTTCAAATTACATTTCCAGATGCTAGCCCAAAGGTACTTTACTATTTAACTCTGTGGTATTGTAGATTGTAGAAACAGATGCTAAAGGATTACAAACTTGAGCACATAAATTTTTTTTTACTTCTATAGCATTGAGGTGGACTGTGATAACTTGGAAACTAAAAATTGCAGCAAATAATGATATCACTAATACAATCATTTCTGGAATTTACTGCATGAAAATAGGCAGGCACCTCTTCTAATTTCCTGATTTCTGAATTATGCAAGTGGTTCACATATGTTATTTGATCGTAACAAATGTTTAGTTTCCAACATTTCATTGGTGTGCCATGAGTTTCTCTGCTATTACTCTTTCTTTTACTTCCCAAGAGGGACAAATCTGGCTAACAATTATGAACACTTGAGACTATGTAGAAGCACCAAGGTGGAATATGTTATAGTTAGGGATTTAAGTATCCTTGGCTGATGTAAGTGTTTATTCCTAGAACAAAGTTTACTGGATTAGAATGTTTAGTATAAGGTTTCCCTGATTTATATTGAAATGTACCATATGAGACAAGTCATCAATCAACTTGATGATCATATTATCACTGGATCTAGATTGCTTACTATTTTTTCTGCACATTGCCTTATAGGTAGCTTCTTCAGTAAATTGCATGGTCAGCTTAATAGGTGGATCACCTAGAAAATCTACATGTGCAGTGAATGCTGCTTCACTTCTTCCTACCTTGCAATTTTTACTGCATCAAAATTCTATGCAAAAGGTCAGCTGCCTGAGCTCTCTTTGTGGATATTCATCTTCTAGGTATTAAAGTAATTCTTTTTAACAGGAGCAATTAATTAAACTGATCAAGTGTGTGGAGCAAACACATAATGTATCTTCAGCCTACCATACAGAAGCCTCTGATACAAGCACTGGTGATTCACAGGTATATTGAAGATTATTTACCTAAATTTACTATGGAGCATTAGCAAATAAAATGTTCTATGCTGGTGTAGAAGGCATTTAGTTAATAAAATAGAGCTACTTTTTTTTTCCGTGTGGGTAAATCTGGTGACTATAACTATATTCCACAGCCCAATTTCTCCCGTTTTTGCATTCTTACTATAAATGATATGCTCATTATATTGTGAATTAATTGTGACTTTTCTTGTTTCTAAGTTAAGAAGCTTAGTCCTTATCTTCCTTATTAGGTGTAAGTATGATATCTTATTCTTGGCCCTCACTTTTCTTATTAGGTTAAAGCATGGTATCTTATATGTACCAGTCGGTATTAGTGTCTTGTGTGTGTTGATACATCGGTACGTATCGATAACCCAAACTCTGTCAAAAAATGACCTAAAATTATAGAAAACCCCAATTAAAAATTTTCTAATATGGAGCAGCAAATCAATAGCAAAAATAGATATTCTGACATTCTTTATGCTCCGCACCAATACACGTCACATTTGTCCTTGCCTTATGAGTCGCCTCAGACGTGGTTTATGATAATCAGACTATGACTATCATCATATTGATGCACCAGTGATATACGGTGTCTCAAGACCCTATGTAGTGAGATCAATTTCAAGATTGAATCCGACAAACAAATCATATTGATATACATATACATAGGATCGAGGACCTTGATCCATCGCTCGTAGAGTCCCGTTGTTCTTTTTGATGGTAGAACTAGATATATCCATCGATTGATTATTTAATTCATTTGAATCTTAAATTTTAAACTGTAAAAAAAAATAATCTAACATGCGGCCAATACGTACCTCCCATTTTGCACCATATCAGGTGGTACAGCGGTCCATGGGTTTAAGTATGGTTCCTCATTGCTTGTAGCAGTCCATGGGTTTATGATATATATTAGTGCATGATAATTTATCTACTTATAAAAGTTGTAAGTTGCTTCAGTTTTCAATGCTTCTCTATTGGCAGCATCAGCTCTAATTGGCCATAGTAATCCTATCTCTTGGTTATCACATGACGGTGGGTTTTCTTGTGATTTTTCAGGTTTGCTACTGAATGGGTACTTTTTTCCATCAATTTGCCTCATTGCAGAAACTAAACCATTTCAACTGTCTAACTAGGATTAGAACAATATTAGCAAGGTTCAGTCTACAATAAATCAAATATTGAGGATTTGAATGGGTAGAAATGCTAGTATCTACATCTCTTCCCTTGGGGTTTTGAAAAGTTTAATATGTTAGTTTGAGAAAATAGTGAAGAAACATGGAAAATAGACTGACCAGCCATTTGACAATATTTTCTTGTTCTACTAGCAAAAGAAACATTAATTATATTTAGTGAAAATGAGAGTTAGAACAATGTGACTATTCCACTGGATGTAAACATGGACGCAGCTGTTAGACAGTAATATGATCCATAATCTATCATCCAAAATAAAAACACTCACTAAAGGCAGTTAATTGTGTCAATATACTTTTGGAAGTAGATAACATATATAAGAAGCAATGTGAGGGCTCCTCCAGACTCTTAGAAATATAATTAAAGGATTTTAGCATGACCAACTTAATCCATCATCTCCAGAACTATCTCAAGCTTCCTTATTTGGTCAAATATATCCAGTCTACCTCAACCAGCTGTTTTTCCCAATTGTTTGTTTAAGAGTTCAGCATCCATTATCACAATTATGATCTTTTTCATCTATTTCCCCCACTAATTTGGACAAACTTCTTATGTTAGTTAACCAATTGAAATATTGTGATCCATCTCTCAGCTTCTATTCCAAACTTGCTTGCACAGTAAGATGGAACTTCTATCTCAAGCTCTACTGCAAAAGTCAACCTGAGCTTGCCTAGATGGTTGTTAGGAGAAACCAGTCAGTGTAGTGATTGACAATCTGGATCACAAGATCCAGATCATGGAACATTGCAATCTAGAATGAAAATATCACCAGTACTATATATAGTTCTGATTATGCAATATTCAGAAGTCCACCTGCCAGACCATGTTCAATTGTTCCCTGTACCGGAACAATCCATTCTCCAGATAATGTAGGTCCAGAAATATGAAAGTAAACTGGAAGTGAAGTATCATGCAACATGGCTACTTTTAAAATACTATTCTCTCAGCTTCTTTTCCAAACTTGTTGGTATCTTTTGTATCATTTTAGTTGCAATGTTTGTCCAGTTCACTGATATCAATTGTTTATACAACAGTCATTCCAAGCTTCAGGAACAGAGAGGGTACTGCAAAATTATATGACTAATCTGCAACAGAGGTACTTGGTCTGTTATTGATTACAAAAACAAAAATGCTGTTTTGTTGGCATTCATCCAAAACTTTCTTATATCAGTGTTGGGGAACTTGCTGAAGAAGTGCAGAGTTTAAAACTGAAAAATTCTCAGGTAAGTATCTTGTTTGGAATCTCTTTATTCTACACAGTATCTCTACATAGCATTAGAACCTATTAAGGATATACAGTTCAGCAATCTCTGGTTTAGTTGCCGTTTAAGGCGTGTTGATGATGAAGGTATGTTTGTTGATGTCCGGAAAAGTCAACTGGACATCAATATCTACCTCTTAGGGAATCAATATATGTTGGCACTGAAAAGGATAGCACTGAACATGTTTGTGTGTTTGCATGCAATATATGATATTATAAAACCGTGAAGATAATGGCGTGTATATGGTAATTATGTTCATTTTTGAAGTCTACTAATATTGTGATATTTAGTATATTATATTAATTATTCTAACTAATATTATAACTTTGAACTCTACTAATGTGGCGTGCATTGATTTACCTTTTTGTGTGGGCTTTCTCCTGCGCGAATGTGCCATGAAAACTTCGTTTTCAATTTCTTTTTCTTGTGTGCTTTTGCAGTTGGAACAGCAGATCGATGCGTCTTTGAGAAAGGAAAAGAAGCGAAAAGACAAGCCCGCACAGAGATGATCTTTCATGGTGGAATAAGACTCTTTGTTTTTTGCTCCCCTCCCACTTTCCTCTTCAAGGCGTGATGGCGATGTTTAATTTATGAATTCATTGCACATAATATCCATTGTATATTCTCTACCTCTCTCTCTCTCTCTCTCTCTCTCTCTCTCTCTCTCTGTGTTGGTTTGTTATATTGACATCGAAACTAAGCGGTTGATATGCGAAGGGGTCTGAGTCATGGAGATCCTTCTCTTTCTATAATATGCAATATGAGAAGTATCCTTAGGCAAACAATCATTAATTTCATTCAATTTTTTTTAAAAAATTATTGGTTGATTTTTTTTCTTAAAGTTTTTAATCAAAATGTTATTTTTTGAGTATGCTTTCAATGTATAAGTTTTGAATCGGCTCAAATAAATTTGAACAAGCTTTACGTTTTAACTATGACGTGAAGAGTAATTTTTAAATTTTTAATTAACCCTAAAAAATTTTTACAAAATTTTTAAATTTAAAATAGAAATAAAATTTTAAAATTTTAAAATTTTAAATTTAAAGTTAATTTAAACTAAATCTCGATTATTTATTTAAGATATCTTTAAATTTTAGTATGCTTTCAATGGAATATTTTATGAAAATTTCATATCATTAGTTCAATTGTTAATGAATTGAATCGTATTAATAAAGCGGGAAGTGAAAAAAAAAAAGGTGATTATTTTTTTCGATTTTAGAGAGCAAGGGTCTCCATGGAATACGTGAAAACCTATCGGTGATTAGTAATCAATCATATGGCGCCTCGTCCGGTTAAGGGCAAGCCTCCAACCATTATCCTGTATAGTTTACATGTCATTTTCGTCTGGATAAAAAAAAGCTAAGATTCGAAGATATCTGGATAAAAAAAGAGCTAAGATCTGAAGATGACCGAGTGTCATTGAACCAATCATTGATGTTACATCATCAAATCAATCTTGATGGGAGAACCGATATCCTGTATAGCTCACATGATAAAAAAAGAGCTAAGATATGAAGATATCTGGATAAAAAAAGAGCTAAGATCTGAAGATGACCGAGTGTCGTTGAACCAATCATTGATGTTACATCATCAAATCAATCGGTTCTCCCATCAAGAGTTCGAAGGTCAATCTGTGGAGGATCACATACCTTGGTTGTATGAGCAGAAACAAGAGATTATGAGACAGTCAGTCCTTACCCATTCAAGCACCACCTTAGTGCCATTTTGGATCCACTCATACGTCGATCATTTCTGACAATGTTGAGGGGAAATCGAATAGAATAAAGCGGTATTCCTCGAGCCTCGATCTCCTTAGAAAAACTGGGAAGTTGGAGCTGCATTTTGTAGTAATTTACCCCCCCAAAAGCCTACATGAAGAAGAAGGCATGACAGCTTTCAAACTCGTATTCTACTCTTCTCGTCCATCCATGTCGCACTCTGTTTCGTTTGTTCAGTTGCCAAACGACCACCAATTAACTTCCTCAAAGTAAATGCAAGAGGCAATCAACATATTTCTACTGATTTAAAGTGCAAGATCTCCCATAACAGATACTAAGGAGATGCCATCACAAAATCTTTATCCATAAGCAAATATGAACCATGTCCTCAACCCCAAGGACCCACCGAAATGAAAATCGATGTGATCTTTTAGCTGACCGATCAATCTCAGGGGAGTGGCAATACTTCCAACTCGATAAGTGATATCGTCAATCTGAGGTTTATATTGAGGGAGGAGGTTAACCCACTAAAGGTGTACTCAACTCGATTCTTGTCAAGTCCATTGACTTAGTACCTCCCCGACTTTAAGAGACCAAAGGTCGTCTTTTGTTAGACGAAGAAGATATCGCTATAACATGGGGCGATATCGGACGTGAGAGAAGATAAGTGATCCTGTATAGCTCACATGTCATTTGTTGGACGAAGAAGATATCAAGCTATAACATGCATGGAACACTAAACAAGGAGTGCTCACAGAGAAAAGATTTTAAAATTTTAAAAAAGAAAAAGAACTGGCTTGACTTCAAAAGATAAAAGAATAAAATAAAAAAGGAGACGTCTACAACTATATATTTGAGCAATTTCTAAAAACTCTCAAGAATAAAACTAAGATACATGTGCATAGTTATAAACACATAATCTTAGGATAGGATATTATTAGGATAGGATATTATATTCTATGTATATGATAATGAAAGTTTAGATTAAAGAAACGTTATTCAAAACTTGGTTCACTCCGTTTCATTCAAATACATCTTATTTACACTAAACAAGATTTAAGCATACCACACTGATCGCACAATATAAGTTAAAGTAGTATTTCTTATTTATTTATATTTTTTAATATTAAAAAAATTAATTTTTTTATAATTATTAAGATTAAGCAACAAAAAAAATTAAAAATTTTCATTTACTCTCTTTTTTTTTATTTACTTTATCTCATTTTCAACATGTTATTTTGTGGTTTAACATTCGGGTCATTAAAGACCCAAATGTTCACTTAATAAATTTCCTAGAAAGCGGGACTTCTCGGTATTATCTCATTCTTATGAAGAAGAGATTTTTCTTCGAACGACGTCAAATCAAACGTGACGATGGATTCTTCTTTTCTTTGAACTTTTTATCTTTTCTAAACACTATTCAATTGGAGATTGTTTTTCTTGAATGTTAGATTTTATCGAGGGATGTCAATTTACTTTATATATATATATATATATATATATATATATATAGTTGTAGTGAGTGTAAAATCACATCATCAAATCGTTCCACAAATTCAGAACAGTCCATTCCAAAATAATAATAATAATAATAATAATAATAATAATAATAATAATTCTTAAATAACTGGCAATCCAAAGCGTTGAACTCACCTTACCTTACAATTCCATCGATCACTGTCCTCTATCGGTGTCTAGCAAGACTTTTTGCTTCCCCCGTTCACACACGCTCTCTCTCTCTCTCTCTCTCTCTCTCTCTCTCTCTCTCTCTCTCTCTCCTTGCTCGTCATGTCAATTTCCATCCTTCCTGTTCAAACCTCACCGTGTCAAATTCATCTGTATGTGCGTCAGCAAAACTGCCAAGTAGGGACCCTTTTTTTAACCAAACAATGCACCTCTAATATTTTGACAAATATAATATATATATATGTATATATTGTTAATACCCGCGCGAAGATCGTGCCGAGTTATTATTTAGCTTATGTAGATGGGTCCCACACAAAACAGATGTCCTCTCTGAACTATTCTTTCTTTAGATTATACTTTTTCACGTAGATTATATTTTTCCCCAGTAAAATAATGTTGACTTAAAAAGTCGCGCAAGTGCATGCTTTTTCGACGTGCTTATCTCACATCCGCCAATTCTATCATATAATCGTTGACAGTTTCCAGTTTGTTGACGCAATCTATTCTGAGTTTATTTTTATGTAATCTAAATTACTAACATTGCAGCAAATGATTTAGATACTAAGTAGCTGTGAGAGTACGGCGTTGACAATGCCTTCATTAGTAAGATCTCGTGGCTCCTCCTCACCGCAGAATTCTTCTCTGTTAGCGGGGGAGCTGACCACTTCGACACTTATAAATCCCTCGCCAAGAGCTTCCCCCTCCACCAAGCCCAACGTCTCCTCTCTTCCTCCACCATTACCACCACCGCTCCATCCTTTCTTACTCAAACTCTTAGAAGGCATGGGATCCAACACGGAAGTGCTGCAGCTGTCACCAGAGGAGGACGAGGAGGCGCGCTTGTATGCCGTGCAGCTGGTGATGGCCATGGCCCTCCCCATGACCCTCAAGGCGGCCATCGAGCTCCGGCTCCTCGAGATCATCGTCAAGGCCGGCCCCGGCGCCAAGCTGAGCGCCGTCGACGTCGCCTCCCAGCTGCCCACCCAGAACCCGCAGGCGGCCGATATGGTAGACCGCATGCTCCGCATACTCGCTGCCTACCGCATCGTCAGCTGCACCGCCGAGCCTGGCGCCGCCGGCCAGCTTCTGCGGAAGTACGGCGCAGCGCCTGTGTGCAAGCACTTAACCGAGAACGAGGATGGTGTGTCCATGGCTCCTCTGTGCTTGTTCGGCCTGGATAAAGTCAGGATCGATTTCTGGTAATTCGGGGACTATATATACTATGTAAGATCTGAAATCTATGGTCGTGTAACAGCTAATGAAATCCTTGGCAGGCACTACTTGAAGGATGCGGTGTTGGAGGGCGGCACCTGCTTCCACAAGGCATACGGTATGACGGCGTTCGAGTACAACGGCACCGACCCCCGGTTCAACAAACTGTTCAACGAATGCATGAGGAGCCACTCCAGCATCATCACCAAGAAGCTGCTCGATATCTACTGCGGTTTCGACGACGTCAAGGTGCTCGTCGACGTTGGCGGCGGCACCGGAGCCGCCCTCCACATGATCACCTCCAGGCATCCCCAAATCAAGGGCATCAACTTCGACCTCCCTCATGTCATCTCCGAGGCACCCTCGTTCCCAGGTTCGCCGTTGATCGATTTCCTTTGTCACCAAACAGAAGAAAGATATCAATGATACGTAAATGGATCTTGTTTTGCTAGCAGGCGTCGAGCATGTCAGTGGAGACATGTTTGTGAGTGTGCCACAAAGTGACACCATTTTTATGAAGGTTAGAATCCACTGATTACTACTGATAGCCGTGACAGTGTTGTAACAGATGAATGTTAATGTGCAGTGGATTCTTCATGATTGGAACGACGAGCAATGTTCTAAATTACTAAAGAATTGTTGGAAGGCTTTGCCAGAGAAAGGTAAGCTGATAGTGGTAGAATATGTGCTTCCACTGCTTCCTGAGCCAAACTTAAACTTACGAGGTGCGTTCCATTTGGACATCAATATGATGGTTTTCCTTGGAGGAAAAGAAAGGACACAGAAGGAGTTCGAGGCCCTCGCACTGGAAGCAGGGTTTTCTGGATTCACATCTACTTATATTTCCATGTATACTTGGGTCATAGAATTCAAAAAGTAAGGGGTATATATATATATATATATATATATATATATATATATATATAAACAGTTGTCTATGAGTATCTTTAAGTATATGAGTCGTAACTCATCCTGCTTATGTCAATGTTCTTCCTTTGGGTAGTGATTTCGGGCTGGGATTCTCATATGTACCCCTTGCAAAATATGTAAAACGATGTCAACTATACCTTGATAGTAATTCTGATTCTCTAGACAAAAAAAAAAAGTACTATATTGCAGGATGTATAAAATGCTCGAATATGTATATGTATATATACTTTGGTTAGCGAAACCGTATGTTTGAATGTTGTATATCATCGTTTGCATCTGTAAGATTCCAGAATAAAATAGGATCACATTATATATATACATATATATCTAATTTTTTAAATGAAGATGAAACTTACGTCTTTACAATGGGAGAAAAGAGGAATATTTAGATTTTTTACAATAGAGAGAAAAGAGAAAATTTGGATTTTTTTATCAATAATCTTTTTTAATATATCTAATTTTTTAAACAAAAACATTAACGAGTTTCTTTGTTACCTTCATTAGAGTTCCTCTAACTCTTATTTGATCAAGTCTCTGTCCTTTACCTCGAGCATCAAATCATCTATGACCCTATAATCCTAACCATTTCATTGAGATTTGAGTTCTGAATTTTTCTCTTGGTGTTTTTTTGTATCTTTAGTTTCTTCTTTGATAATAAAAATCATATCAAATCTGAGAGAGAAACTTTGTAAAACCTTTTTGCTACTATTTAATCTTTTAGGTTATCATCATAAAACCTTAGTTGGTTCATAATACAAGAAACTTTTGAGAAAAAAATTAATGATAAATTTAAAATCTTTCAAGTTTCAAATTCATGTCGATGAATTTGAAGTCTTAAGATTTGTATTCAAATATAATTTTTAATATTTTTCAAGCTTTGATTTGTAGATGTTTATATGATTTGGAAAAATAGGAACTCATATATTGCTTGGAAAAATAGGAAGTCATTTATTACTTGTTATATCATATAGAGGGCTCTTGCATCTTTCTTTCTCATTTATTTTATCTTTTTTATCTTCGCTAATATTAGAATTCCATAGATCATACTCAACAAAATCAATTTCTACCAAATTTTCAATTCTTGAAAAATAAATAAAGTTATCATTTTAACGACTCAAAATTAATAATTTTCATCATTAAAGATAGGAAGAAGTTGATCAAAAATATTTATTCTAATCTTCTCGCTTTTTTCACCTTCTGGATCTATTTGATCCTCTCTAATTTTTTTTAATCAATGAATTTTTGCTAGACTTCTTAAATCCAGGCTTTGATACCACATATGTTGACTTTCTGCATAACTTTAGAACCGAAGAAGATAATAAAAAGAACGAAAAGTACTTTAAATTTGTAATAATTTAGATTCATATTTATATTAACTAAAAAGAATAAACTATAAGTTTTTAAAATAAGAAAGAAATCGATCATAACCCAATAAATGTTTTCATAGTTATCTATTTATCTTAATTTAAATCTGTATATTTTGTTGCATCTAATGTTAACTACGTGAGTAAGATGGGTCTCGGAGATAACATGAGGGAGATTGTAATTGATGCCCTTGATGTGAGGGTGCTCGGAGGTGATATTTGGAGGGTTATGCCGGTGCCGCCACCAACGTCGACGAGCACCTTGACACTTCGGAAGGCTCGATAGACCTGGAGCAGTTTCTTGATGACGACGGTGGATAGTCTCCTCATGCTGCCGTTGAACAACTTGTTGAACCATGGGTCACTACCGTGGTACTCAAACGACGCCATCCCGGTGGCTTGTTGCAGGAGATGCCATTCTCCAACACCGTGCTCTTTTAATAGTAGCTGCCACCATTGTTAACATAAACCCTATCAGATAGTGCGACAATAAATGAGAAAAGTTGTCGTGCATTGGTTCTCTCTCTCTCTC